CACAGTGAGACCCTAAAAATGGAAGGGCCAGGGATATAGCTCAGCAACACAAACACCTGCCTGGCAAGTGCAAGGTCCTGAGTTTGATTCCCAGTACCAAAAAAGAAAAAAAAAAAAAAATGTACAAAAACATTTAAAGAAATGATGCCAGGAATGGTAGGGGTCTGAGAGACTATTGAGACCAATGGTTTGGTTTTGTGCATTATAGGCAAGTGCTGTCACCGCTTTCTCTCAGCTTCCTGTTGAGATTTTTTTTTTTAATCTTCAATGCAGTGGAAAGTGAAGAAGGAGTTTGGAGTAGAAGTAACATGATATGATTGGCTTGTTAGAGACACAGCCCTGGCACAATAAAGGGAGTGGATTAGAGATATAAAAAGTACAGGGCTGGGGATGTAGCTCAGTGGTGCAGCACCTGCCTGGCAAGTGCAAGGCCCTGAGTTCGATTCCCGGTACCAAAAAAAAAAAAAGTAACAAAACTGAACAACTAAAAGAGAAAGAAAAAGCAGGAGAAAGACATGAAAGTAACTCTTGTCTGTGCTTCTTTCTGCACACTATCCTGCCAGCCTGGTCCACTGTTTAGCCCACCTCTAGTGCTAGCTAATTCTTTTACTTCCGGTTCAGGTCAGCCCTTGCTACCACAGATTTCTTTCCCACCGTCCAGGTAGCCTTGCCGTGTGATTCTGTTGCTCTGTCACATAGCTTGATGCTACAGTTTTCCACACTTATGAGGCAAGGTAATGGTACCACACAGAAATTTATTATTGGCAGAAATTTACTGTCTCATAGTTCTGGAAGGTGTAAGATTGAGACTGAGATGTCAAGATTGCTTCCTTCAGAGGGTTCTAACACCTCAGTTTCAGGCCTCTCCTTGGCTTGTGGATAGCTATCTTCACCCTGTGTCTTCACAATATTTTTCTTCTGTATGTATCTGGGTTCAGTTTTTTTTTTTTTTTTAAATTTTTTGAGACAGGGTCTTGCTATGTAGTTCAGGCTGTCCTTGAACTCACTATGAAGTCAGCAGTTCTCCTGTCTCAGCCTCCCCGTGCTGAGACTACAGGAATGTGTCATCATGCCTGGCCTCCAGATTTCTTTTAGGATAGAAGTTATTGGATTGGGGCCCATTCTAATGACCTCATTTTAGCAAGTACTTTTTAAAACACCCTGTCCCTAAAAATAGTGACATTCTGAGTTACTGGGGTTAGCATTTCAACATGAATTTGGGGGAGAAGGGCCACAACACAGCCTATAATAGGAAGCAAATGTCTTAACGTGAAATAATTTGTTAATCAGCTAGGCATGGTGCTGCACACCTGTAACACTGCACTTGGGAGACTGAGGCAGGACCACTATGAGTTCAAAGCCAGCCTGGGCTATATAGTGAGTTCAAGGCCAGCCTGAAATACATAATGAGATCCTGTCTCAAAAAAAAAAAATTGCTGACCAACTACTTAAAAATGTTCTTGCTGAGTTTGGTGGCACATGCCTGTAATCCCAGCACTCAGGAGGCTGAGGCAGGAGGATCTCTGCGTTCAAGGCCAGCCTGGGCTACAAAGTGAATTCAAGTTCAGCCTGAACTGCATAGCGAGACCCTGTCTCAAAAAGACAAAAAAAAAAAAGAAAAATTTTTCTTGTGGACTGGTATGGTGGCACATATCTGTAATCCTAGCATTCTAGGAGGCTTAGGGAGACCCTGTGTCTAAAGGAAAACAAACAAAAGAAAAAGTGCTGGGGGTGTAGGTCATTGCAAAGGACTGGGTTCACTACCCAACACTGGAAAAAATTCTTGGAGAGACAGCATGTCCAGTTGGCACAAGCCTGAAGTGGCCTCAGAACGGAGGGTTGAGACCGGCACTAGATGTATCGGAGAGGAAAACAGGACAGGGCGACGGGGAGCTCAGCACTTAGGGTCCAGGGCCCATCTTCTAAGTCTCTGTGGAGGTCCCAGCAGAAATCTGCTTCTGATCTCCCGAGTGTCCTTCCTGAAATCTGGCAGGAGAAGGTGCTGGAGACCCTGACCTTGGAGCTTGGCCTGGGGGCTGTGGCCATGAGTGCTGACTTTGAAGCTGCTGACCAGTTTGATCCCCTGGTTGAAGCGGGGGTGCTGGCCAGACTCTCCCCTCCTCTTCTTGTAGTAGCCCCCTCTCAGGAGAGAAGATACGGGGGTCCCCGCCCCTGGCCCTGTTACCACGCAGGGGCTGTTGCTGCACTTGAGGCCTGTCTGCCCCAGAGGGCTTATGCAGCCCTGCCTGCAGGCTCAGCTCCAGGAAGTGGGAGCCACCTGGCCACTCACCAGATTCCCAGCTCTTCAGCTCTTCCTGCATCTCCCAGAGGCCACCTCTGCTCTGGCTGGGAATTGTAGCCGCGCGGAGGCAGCTCCCACCGAAGCAGGAGTAGGCTGGCCTCAGACCATCACTATGGAGTTGCTCTATGTTTCTGGCTTGGTTCCCAGCCACAAGCACATCAATGTAAAGTGGTTCTTCCTTCCCTGGGTTCACTTCAGCAGCTTGTCCAGGAGCGGGCCCAAAGCTGGACATTCAGTCTGTGGAGTCTAAATGCCAGGCTGATGGCGGGCTTGCTGCCTGGGGCAAAGAAGATGTGTTTCAGGGTGCGGCCGCCGAGTGCCGTGGAATCTTAGGCTCATGGTTTCTGGGTTGCCTGGTTGGCCAGGGGTCAGTGTTGACCCCTTTGGCACCCATTTCTCACAAAATGAGCTGCACAGAGTCTCCTTGGCCCTAGAAGAAAAAAGTCCTGATTCCACTGGCATTTTGCACCTATACTTACAAAGTTTCAGGCAGCTTTTCTTCCTGGCCAGAGAGCTGCAAGGATTGAGAGCAGTTTTCACTCTTAGCTCTCTCAGGACGCCCTCAAATGGGAACATTGCTGGAGGTAGCAGCTGGGAGCTGAACCAGTGGGAGGTCCATCTCATGTCTGGGGAATTGTCCCTTTCCTCGATGTTGGCAGAAAAAGCCTATAATCCCAGCACTCTGGGAGGCTAGGGCAGGAAGACTGAAAGTTTGAGCTTATCCTGGGCAATTTAGCAATTTAGCAATAGCCTATCTCAAAATACCACAAAAAATCTGGGTGTGGTGATGCACACCTGTAATCTCAGTGTTTGGGAGGCTGAGGCAAGAGGACTGCCATGAGTTCAAGACCAGGCTGTGGGCTACATAGTGAGTTCGAGGCTAGCTCAAACTACATACAGAGATCCTATCTCAAAAAGCCAAAAAAGGGCTGGGGATGTAGCTCAGCGGCACAATGCCTGCCCAGCAAGCACAAGGTCGTGAGTTCGATTCGTGGTACCAAACCCCCCTCCCCCAAAAACAAATCAAAAGGCAAAAACAACAACAACAACAACAAAAAAAGCCCAAAACAAAAAGATGAGAACACTAGACTTCAAAGGAGGGTCTGGAATACACTAAGACTACTGTGAAGTTCTTGAGTACTTCTGTATAAATCATTCTTTATATGATTGTTGTTTTAATCTGTCTTTTTTCAAATTCTGTTGCTCAATATTAATTCAGATTACACAATCATAACCAAGAAGAACAATAATTAAATCTGTGAAAATATTATTGAATAATTAATATCATCCATTACATTAAAAATCTTTTTTAGCTGGGCATGGTGGGGCACACCTGTAATCCCAGCACTCGGGAGGCTGAGGCAGGAGGATCCTTGTGAGTTCAAG